TTAATAATCGATCTTACCCTTAACGACGTTATATAATCGTTTTGGTGTTTCGCTAGGTCTTTCTAGACAAAAATTTAGTATTCAACTTAGCTTTTTCTATAGTAACGTAGAGAGTAAATAAACAGCAAATTTGTCATTAAATTAAATTTGTTGAATTTAAATGAAATGAATCGTTTTGGTAAAAATTCTTCGGCAGATATTGACGCAGCAATTTACAACTTAAAGCCATTGAATACAACAAAAACTGAAAATTACATTTGGAAACAATTTCAAGAGTTTTGCGAGCAACGGAACTATGAGTTAACGCCCTGGACGTCTAATGATGAATTGGGAAATATCTTGAAGGACTGGGCGTTTAATATGAAACGGAAAGATGGGTCAAACTACAAAGAAGGAGTTGTGAAGACTATATGGAAGTGAGTGCCAAGCTTCTACAAGAACAATACTTCAAAAACCACAATCGAAAAATCGATCCTTTCAAAGATTTGGCATTTGAAGGGGCCCGTAAAGCTCGGTCAACGAAAAGAAAGCAACTTCAATTAATACCGGAAAAAAGGAAAGCTAGTTCTGCGGCTTTAACAAGAGACGAGATTCTAAAAATCATCCAGAATTTTGACGAAAATACGCCCGACGACTTGCAGAAAAAATTTTATCAAATTGCAGCTGTGGAGCTGGCCTGGCGTGGAAATGAAGCAGCATCATGTGTGGTTAATTTTTTTAAAAAGGAATTGAATAATTACGGCTTACCAACGGCTCGCTTGAAGTACAACACAATTTTTGGAAAAACATCTCAAGGAGGCGACGAAAATCTCGTCGACACCAAGTGGCTGACACCGAACAAAGAAAATGAAGATTTGTGTCCAGTGAGGTTGTATGAAAAAATGATGTTCAAGCGCACCCCGAACATCAAGACGAACCGGTTATTTTTAACACCAAATAATAATTGGAAGGCAACAAATGTTTGGTACAAGAACTGCCCTGTTGGCGTAAATCAGATAAGTAAATGGACACGTTTAGGTGCAGAGAATGTTGGAATAGACACAAAAAAAAGGCAAGAATCACCAACCATTCTAACTGTTCATCCGCAGTGAGTGTATTAGCAAATGCTGGCGCAAATTTGCAAGAGATTATCAAAGTAACTGGTCATTCTACACCAAACTCGTTGAAACCATACTTAAAACTCAACGAACAGCATCATACCAAAATCATCAATCAAATTCGGAACAATCAAAATGTTTCGTCGTCATCAGTGCCATCAACGTCCTCCCTTCAACAGCAGGAACCTCTTAATACAAATAATATTTATTATAATAACTGCATTTTTCATTTTCATAATAATTAAAGTTAATTTAGTGTAAATGTAATTAGTATACTGTCAATTCATTATATAATCGTAACGAATATCACTCAAGCATTAGAAAATAATCTCAATACTAACCTCTTAACTCGACAATAATCAGAAACACCACTCGACCTTCGGTCTCGTGGTTTTTCAGATTATAAGTATCGTTAATCGGTTAGTATTTTCGATTATTTTCTATGCTCTTGTGATATTATAACTGATTATAACACATTTAAAATGGAAAATCTAGAAAAACATATTATTATAATAAATGTAAATAATAATATTTTTCAAGAGAGCAAGAGATAACTAAGTAGTTAGTAAATAAAATAGCTAGTTAATAGAGTAATAGAATACACCGACATAGTCAGTTTTAATTTGTAAATGTGTGGTTTAAGTCCAAATATGTATTATTTAAGTTATAAGTGTTGTAAAAAATGATAGAAATAAAATATTTAATGTGTAAAAATAGATATTTATTTTATTAGGAGTTTAAGTGATACTTTATTAAGGAATTGTCTTGATTTCACTTACCATGGTTACTATGGTCGACAACCACTAGGATTCTCACATATTTATACTCCGGCGGAGTATAAGTAGTACTTATGCGTTGCTCAAACACGCTGTCATAGAAATGACACTTAAACCCCGGTAAGAACGTCATATAAGTGTCAGTTATATGACGTTAGAAAATAATAGATATTTATTTTATTAGGAGTTTAAGTGATACTACTTTATGTGTCGAGTATGGACGATTAAACGCCGAGCGATAGCGAGGCGAATTAAGTCCATACGAGTCACATGAAGTCACTTAAACTCCGAATGAAATACAATATTTTATTTTCAAACGATTAATCTTCTTTTGAAATTATTATTTCCTATCATCTTGCTTCATTAAGGAATTGCCTTGATTTCACTTACCATGGTTACTATGGTTGACAACCACTATGATTTTCACATATTTATACTCCGGCGGAGTATAAATGTTTTATTTATGCGCCGGCGGAGTAGTACTTATACGCCGCTCAAACACGGTGTCATAGACATGACACTTAAACCCCAGTAAGAGCGTCATATAAGTGTCAGTTATATGACGTTTGAAAATAATAGTTATTTATTTTTCACTCGTATATAATGTTTGTTTTATATACATGATTTGATAAACGTAAAGCGGCATCTTATATCCGGGGCACAATGAGCGGGCATAAAGAGTTATTACGCCCTCTCATTATGCCCTATTTTGCTAAACCGAATTAAACAAAAATTTAAAAAAAATATTGTTTATTTTTAACTACTTATTTATTTTTTGACAATTTATTTAATAACGAACATACAAATTACAATTTACAAACTTGCTATTCATACCAAACTATTCAGGTAAACTTAAACTTTTCGGAGGTGCCTCTATTGGAATTATTTCTGCCACTGCTTCCATTCTGCTAGCACCGAATAACGTATTATATAAAAATCTTGAATTGTGTTCACTCATCCTCCAACTACCTTTACAGCATAAAACATTCGTATTTAAATTAATTACAATCATCAAAAAATAACTTACTTTACCTTCTGAAGCAAATATCTGTTGTCGGAAGCATCTTTTCGAAATTGCATGACTTGTTCGCCAGTCAAAACTCGGGATTTTTTTGCCACATAACCTTTTGGGTTTTTTATAGAAATATGTCAAACGATGATAATTAGAAATGTCTATGTTGTCGTTTACTCTTAAAGTTGTCTTGACCATCGAGTATTTTCACCATAAGGAACTGGGTGAATATTTTTCTGACTAAAAATGAAGAACACAGTTAAATAATTATTTTATAAACAGAATAACTCACCAATTCTTGGAAGTAAGCCACTTCTTAATCTTCCAATTAAGGAAAATTTTGTATTCTTTTTCATATATGGATCCTGATGTTCCAGGTAACACATTTTCATTGGCTTTTTGCGCTTTCTTCACAATGTTTTCTGGAATTTCACAATTTTCCTCATTCATTTCCGCGGTCGAAAATATACGTGTTGACACCGTGAATAGACGCCGTGTTTGCAATAAACATAGAATCTCCTTGACAACAAAATCAACGCCACGTAAACTTTTTTTTTACGAATTAATTATATAAATTAGTCTTTTTTTTAGATTTTTTCGTGAAAAATAAAAGTTTGTATGCACCACGGGCACAACTTGATGTTTATAAATCTCGGGCAACTTACAAAATCTCGGGCCAGAGGCCCTCGATTTTGTAAACGTTGCCCTCGAATATAAACATCTTCTTTGTGCCCTTGGTACATAAATAACTACCCCGAGATTTTGTAAGTTGCCCAAGATTTATAAACATCAAGTTGTGCCCGTGGTGCATACAAACTTTTATTTTTCACGAGAAAATCTAAAAAAAACACTAATTTATATAATTAATTCGTAAAAAAAAAATTTACGTGCCGTTGATTTTGTTGTCAAGGAGATTCTATTCACGGTGTCAACACGTATATTTTCGACCGCGGAAATGAACGAGGAAAATTGTGAAATTCCAGAAAACATTGTGAAGAAAGCGCAAAAAGCCAATGAAAATGTGTTACCTGGAACATCAGGATCCATATATGAAAAAGAATAAAAAATTTTCCTTAATTGGAAGATTAAGAAGTGGCTTACTTCCAAGAATTGGTGAGTTATTCTGTTTATAAAATAATTATTTAACTGTGTTCTTCATTTTTAGTCAGAAAAATATTCACCCAGTTCCTTATGGTGAAAATACTCGATGGTCAAGACAACTTTAAGAGTAAACGACAACATAGACATTTCTAATTATCATCGTTTGATATATTTCTATAAAAAACCCAAAAGGTTATGTGGCAAAAAAATCCCGAGTTTTGACTGGCGAACAAGTCATGCAATTTGTAAAAGATGCTTCCGACAACAGATATTTACTTCAGAAAGTAAACTAGGTTATTTTTTGATGATTGTAATTAATTTAAATACGAATGTTTTATGCAGTAAAGGTAGTTGGAGGATGAGTGAACACAATTCTAGATTTTTGTACAATACGTTATTCGGTGCTAGCAGAATGGAAGCAGAGGCAGAAATAATTCCAATAGAGGAACCTCCGAAAAGTTTAAGTTTACCTGAATAGTTTGGTATGAGTAGCAAGTTTGTAAATTGTAATTTGTATCTTCGTTATTAAATAAATTGTCAAAAAATAAATAAGTAGTTAAAAATAAACAATTTTTTTTAAATTTTGTTTAATTCGTTTTAGCAAAATAGGGCATAATGAAAGGGCATAATAACTCTTTATGCCCGCTCATTGTGCCCCGGATATAAGATGCCGCTTTACGTTTATCAAATCATGGATATAAAACAAACATTATGTACGAGTGAAAAATAAAATTATTTTTTCTTGCATATTTTGCATACATTTCTTGCATATTTTAGCAGTTTTTTGCATATAATGCCAAATTTCTCTGCATATTTACATGTTTTTTTTTTCTGGATATAATTCATAATTCCGAGCTTTAGTGATGTTGATGACCTTCACCACAACCCTATTTACTAGCATAGCACATAATAGGCTTGGGTTCTGCATTTTTTAAATAAGTTCTGCATAATTAAGCTTAACGAGTTCAGGGCTAAGTATCTGAAAATTTAACACAATTTATAAAAATAAAAGAATCTTTTAATGTCATATTTATTTTGTTATACATATAAACATACCAATACATATTAGATATCTTTGCATAATACAACATACTCGTACAAATTTATATATGTAAAAGGTCTCTAGTCAATATAAATAATTAATTTTTTTTTGTCTACTTCTTGATCATACAAATTATAACACCGATAATAACTAGGACAACACTAGAACCAACTAAAATGAATACAGAATTTTTTTTGATGTTTTCTGAAAAAATATAGATAAATAGATCAGCATGCTCACACATAAAATGTAAAAATAGCGATGGAAATAGGAAGAACCAAGGTAAAGTAGAGTCCGCCAAAAAGTGAACATTGTTTTGAGTGTTCATTGGAAGCTCTTAGTGCTTTTACACAAAGTTAATATGTTTTAGTTTACTTACCTAATATTTGATTTCCGAGACATTCTCCTGATTTCTTATCGCATGACATTGGACAATAATTTGAACATTTTTGTTTGCAACCAAATCCGTATTGTCCATTTTCACATTCTGAAAGATTATAAAAATAAGTATATGTATATGTCAAAACTTGCTTCAACGGTTTTCATAATTTATTCTAGTCATCAGTACAGGTTGTTAATAACTTAAATCCAACTTATTGGTCAGATTTTTTTTTTTTATTATAAAGTGTAGCTAGGTAGAATACAAATATTTTTTAACTCTGTTTATTTGGAAGTCCTTAGGTCTATATATACAGAAAGTTCTACCCACCTTTGTCACACGAGTCGCCACTATAACCCCAAGGGCATTCGTAGACGTTATTATACCAGATTTTATGGTTTTCGCAGTGCTTATATTTTTCTCCTAAAACATCTTCACAATTTATCGAACATGTCTTGCCCAAAAATCCCACTTTGCAGTTAACGTTTATCGGATTTACCATAGTTTCTTCTGTACTAATTTGGGTTTCTTCCGAGGCTTGTAAATATTTACACGAAGGGATTTCATCCTCAGATTCCCGTTTGAATACCGCTGTTGAAATTGTTTAATTCAAATTTTTATATAAGTTAAATGTTAATTTACTAATGTTATTAGTCCTTTTTCCTGATTCTTATTGCATGTATCAGGAAAGTGCAAAAACAACTAAATGGTACATTAATTATAAAAGGAAAGATTCTTAATTTTGTCACACATACCTACTATCCATTCACGGTCTTTTCGATGTAAAGTATATAGACATTGATATTTTCTCTGCACGTTGGACAAACTGATATAATTTTTTGTCTGTTAGTTGTCTGACATAATAATCTCGACATTTACTTCGAGCTGGTTTTTATTCAAATAAAATAAAAGTTTAAGCTTGCCAATGTTAAAAATTTCTTGGAATTTCGTAAGAGTGAATTTAAAAACTGATATAAGGACCACCAATATATTTTCTGTGGTTTAAAAAATAAGTAGTGGAATATTTGTGTAGATATCCTGTACATATGTTTTGACAATCAAAATATTTTTTTTGTGTTTGCTTCCCACATACAACTCTTTTCTAATTTTTTTTTTAGAATTCTTGTAGAGCATTTTTTTCTGAAGTCATTAATATATCATATTTTATTCAGCTATACTACGCCACTGCCTATTATTTGAAAGCTTTATGTTACGAAAACACGCTTGTTTCTATTTGATTCGGAGTGTTTTCCTATTTGAAAATGTTGCGGTTAACACTATTTTAGCACGTGTACCAATTCAGACATGTGCAATATTATACTAATAATAAAACACTGGGGTGTAACTTTCTTGAGATATTATCAATAAAAAAAATCGGTGAACTATTTTTGATTTAATAAAAGAGTCATAGTTTAAGATAAAAAAAATGTTCGAAGGTTATTTTGACGGAAGTTCCCTCGCCCGTGAAGTGCGGTCCAATATATTTCGCTTCCTTGAAAAATTATAAAAAAAATTTGGAATTTATGTTTTCTGATAACTTCTATAAAGTGAAAACCAGTGGCGTATTTAACACTCTCGCAGCTTTTTTGACTTGAATTTTTCAATTCTTCAATTCTTCTGTTTTCCGATTTGCAATTTTTCGTGTTATCAAGTTTAAATTATTCGTTTTTCAACTTTCCAACTTTTGAATTTTTCAATTTTTAGATTTTGCAATTTTTCGATTTGGGTTTCTCGAGTTTGCAATTTTTAATTTTTCGTTTCGGTGTTTTATTTTCTTATGTTCTGAATTAAGCGATTTTTCAATGCTTCGATTTTATAATTTTTCATTTTTTCAGTTTGGTGTTTTCAGTTTTTTCTTCCTTCAATTTTTCGATTTGCAATTTTTCAGTTTTTCATTTTTTCGGTTCTTGAATTTTACGAAAACTTAAAAATGAAAGGTCGAAGAGATTCATTCTTATTTTTTCAGTTTACCAATTTTCCAACTTTTGAATGTTTCAGTTTTCAGATTTTGCAGTTTTTCGATTTTGCAATTTTTCGATTTGCAGTTATAAAAGTTTTCAATTTTTACGTTTTTCAATTTGAAAATTTTCAATTTTTCGATTTTTCAGTGTTACAGTTTTTCAAGTTTACAATTTATTTTAACGATGCTACAATTTTTCTGTTACAATTTTTGGGTTTTCCAATTTTTCGATTTACTAATTTTTTTTTCAAATTTTAAGTTTCTCGATTTTTTTCAATGTTTCGATTTTTCGTTTCTTCAGTTCATTGATTTGCAATTTTTAGAGTTTTTACTTTTTCGATTTACCAGTTTTTGGTTTTTTAAATTTTGGTCCGATTATTTGTTTTTTCAGTTTTCCAAAATCGAAGAACTATAAAATGAAAACTTTGAAAAATCTAAAAATTGGAAATCAAAAACTTGAAAAATTGAAAGATTAGAAAATTGAGAAAGCCAAATATTGTAAAGTAGAAATATTGAAAATTAAAGAAAGCGGAAAATCGGTTAATTGATAAATTCAAAAATTGCAAAACTGAAAAATTTAAAAATTCAATAAACGAGGAATTGAAAAATCAGAGAGATTAAAAGTTTGGAGAACTGAATAAACGAAAAATTATAAAACCGAAAGGAACATTGAAAAAATAAAGGAAATGGAAAAACGAAAAATTGTTATATAATAAAAGCGAAAAAATTATAATAAAAGAAATGGGGAAAATGAAAAATAAAAATCAAGAACTTGAAAAATTGAGGAAACGAAAAATAGAAAAATCTGAAAATTACAAATTGAGAACTTGAAATACCGAAAAACGAAAAATTGTAACATCGAAAAATTGCAAAGTTGAAAAATGAATAAGAAAAAATTATGAAACCAAAACACTGAAAAAAAAAACTGCAGTTTCAAAGTTAAATTGCCAAATGTTGAAATAAAATTTTATTTTTTTTCCAGAACTCTCGATGTGTAGGGTGAAAACTGAATACGCATTTATACATTACAAATCCAGGAGTATTTTATTTTGTGAAATAAAAATAAATTTACTATTGTTAATTTTGAAGATGACGTCATGGTGATGATTAGCCAAATTTTTGTAATCGTTTTAAAGCTGGTTTACACTATTCGATTTTCGTATTCGACTTTTTCATTCGAAATCGTTTGGTCTTTACATAGCATTAGATTTTTAAGTTCGATGGTGCTGTCAAAAATTACAAATCTGTCAAAATGCTGTCATTCTGCTTGCATTGAGGTTATGTATTTATTATTAGATTGTTGCCTCAGTTTGTTGCATTATTCTGGTTATTGGGTTTGTGCAAGTGGAAACATTAATAAATAAGGACGCCTAGATATTATAATTCATGACGTCTCGTCAGCTGATCGGTGATGGATTGAGCATTACTTGCGCATGCGCTGCAAAAATCTCGAAAGGAAAATCGAACGAAAATAGACACCGTTCTATCTGCGAAATATCGAATGCGAAATCGAACGAAAGATCGAACGTCGCTATGTCGAATCTATTCGAATGCAGAATCGAGAAGTGTAAACAGACAAATTGGGAGTCGAATGGGGTCGAATTGCAAGTCAAATACGAAAATCGAATAGTGTAAACCAGCTTTTACATTTTACGACATTGTATAAAGTTGGGTGGATTATAAACATAGTTATGTTTATGTTTTTCACACATTCCCTAAATTAATTTTAAAACAACATAATCTAACAAAAAAATGTTTGGATCATTCTCTACCGACTACCAAAAAACCTACTAGATTTTCATTGATAACCCTACGTCAAAAAGACCGTGAACTAAAAATTTCGAATAAATATATAAGTGTTGTCGATTTGCAATAGGTACATTCGCAGGATTATTTCTTACCAGCGTCATACGTATAATTACGACCTCTTACATCCAGTCTCCAATAGCCTTCTTCAGTTGGTTCTTTCAGTTTTCTGACAAACGTCACTTCGTTTGATATTGAAGAATTGATCATAATTTTACGGCTCTGCCATTTTTCTAATAAGGCATCATGTTCTTTGACATCTGAAGAAATATTTAATACCTTTTCTCCGTTATATGAAACTTCTAGTACACATAATTTGCACAAAGAAACGTAAATAATTAACAACGATATTTTGGGGCTCGGAATGATCAGTGTTGTGGAATTTTCTTCGTTATTGTGAAATGTAGCTTCTCTATATTCATCTATAAGCAGAAATCAATATTTAGTTTATACCAAATACAAAGTTACAAATTTGCCTGTGAAAATTATGCGTATAAATTACAAATTACTTACAGTCATGTATTTTGAAATAAGCTTCTGTTGAAGTATTTATAACAAGGTTCGTATGAATTTGGGAGTTGATGCTTATATTGTAATCATTATTTTGATAATAATAGACACTACCATTTTTTTGAAATATTGTATATGTGAGCCAAGTTTCTGCAGCATTTATCGGTTGGCTAAACTGGTGTGTCCCGGTTTCGTCAGAGTATGAACTAAATTCTATTTGTTTTTTTCCATATACGGAAAAAGATACAGAGGTTGTCAATTTATCGAAACGTAAATTGTTTGTTCTTGTGATGTCAAAATCTGAAAAAATAAACACCTGAATTTGTAAATTTTAAGTGCGGTGTATTTTCGTTTCCAAAACAAACGTTACTAAACCTGTTTCGAACACAGTACAACATCATTATTTTGCATTTTTATGACTGAGTTTGTGGGTGGTAGACTTTAAAGTGGGATATTAGAATTTTAAATTTAATAGTGACCTGACCTGGCCTGACAACGGGATAAAGCAGGGGATCAATGTACAAAATCTGGACGATTTGTCTGTCTAATTACCTAAAATTACATACCTTCCCATCTTCTGTCTAAAACAGCCGTTCTTGTTGAATCACTTGACTTCTTTATTTCCCAGTCATCATTCTTCCAAAACCTCTTATTCATTAAATCTATTGAATCGTCTGATTTATTTAGTGGTGGTACGGTGAACATAGCAGCATCGACATGTTCTTCAGATATGCAATATATGTAGGTTTTGCTTGTTATTTGGAGAATTGTTTCTTCTGACAACAAATACTGTTGAAACCATTGATCTAATAAAGGAATGGATGGAGCCTTGTATACGTTTCCATACGCGAGCGAGTGTAATCAACAACGCGCGGAATTGTGTTTCATACGCTCGATCCAGTGCTGTCTCGGCGATAGTTTGATTACAAATATATTTTTCTTTTGGACTATATCAACATAATATAACATTTCAAGATCACAAATCTGTGGTCCTGTGTTTGAAAAATTAAAAAGGGCATCGAGTATTTTTATTTGAAGTAATATAGTAATATAGAAGTAGTTTTTTAACAAGCTGTAAACACTCCAAGCGACGCACTGGCTACGACCTTGTGGACCAGATCAAAGCGTCCCCGCTACTCGCCGTAAAACACACCTTGCTTCAACTGGGGAATTGCATCCGTAAGATATTTTTCCGCCCAGTGGTAATCAACATAAGAAAGAAATAGCTAGAGCGGTTATGCATCAGTGGGGAAAGGACGGCTGACCACGTATCACGTGCTGGGTGGCAAGAAACGCTTCATTTGAACGGGAATTAATACGTTTTCTTACGAATTTGTTCAAACAATCAATTATAACAAACGTCTGTTAATGAAAACTATATTTTTACAGTTTACATTAAAATTATGTGTAATGTGAAACAACAAAAGTCATGTTAAGTGGTGGAGATAGTCTTTTAATAAAATGAAATGTATAGAGAATCTACAATATATTACGAATTCAGTTAGTACAGTAATCTTCTAAAGTTAACTAATCTTGTAGTGTACGTTCATTGGTAATTCTGAAATTTTTAGGATAAAAATAATTAAACTTTCGATAAAAGTGACAGGGTGCCTAATTAAATTAAACATATTAAATTGTGTGGAATTTTCTACTAAAATTTATTTTCTAAATCCACGTACAAATAACTAAAACAATAATCAATAAATATGAAATTCCCTCTTTTTGTAGCAATAAACCGTTTTTTTCGTAACTCGGAATCTTTAGGGAATCTAACAATTTTTTTAAATTATTTACGAAATCCTTCCTCTGTATATGTGATTATTACCTATGAAATGAAACAGGATTGCTGTCTTTGCACGTTCTATGCAATTATACGCACAACACGATTTCACGATGCTTAACAAATACTCCGATAAAATACAACTTAAGAAGACTGTAGACATTTAAATAAGGTAACTTGAGCTTAAAAAACTTAAATTTGCAAAATTATACCTTCAAACACCATGAGACAGCACGAAAGAAACCTCCAGAAACAGTGCTCTCCAGTTTCGCGTCAATGTTTTGCCACCCAGAGAGCCCTATCTCTGTCCCACTGTGTTGACAACGGGCGTCTCTCTCTAAGTTACTTCCATATAATATTATTTCTATGGTTGAAACTATCATGTTAGGTAAGTCATTTTCGGTGTTAATAATAATAATCTTATCTACAGTATGTCCCCGGATTGGGTTCACAAGAGGAAAAAAAACTGTATTTTCTGTTTTATAAAAAAATGACATAGGAATAACATCTTTTGCTTAATTCAAAACGAATAAATCTGCAATTAAAACTTCAATATTCCTGGTCTGTACTCTTAAAATTAATTTTTTCATATTTCTAAGTTCTTCGTTACTTTTAGTTTTTTTCAATTTTAAGGGCACAGCCTGATATTAAAATTTTAATTGCAGATTTATTCGTTTTGAATTAAGCAAAAAATGTTATAGTATAGAAAATACAGTTTTTTACTTCCCGAGCGTAAGCAAAGGAAGTATTGTAATCGAGTCCGTCGGCCGACTCTCTACTTTTATGTTTTCTCGATCTTTCATGACCCCTAGAAGACGAAGAAATAGGTCTCCCATTTCCGTCTGTCTGTCCGTCTGTCCGTCTGTCCGTCTGTCCGTCTGTCCGTCTGTCCGTCCGTCTGTCCGTCCGTCTGTCCGTCCGTCTGTCCGTCTGTCCGTCTGCCGTCCCGGATTTTTATTAGACAGATAATCTCCGAAAGTACTCGACCGATTGTTGTGAAATTTTGAACTTATATTAAGAATAACATGTAGATGGTAAAACGCTAACCAAAATTTGTCTAGTCATCCCCACCACTAATGCGATGACGTCACTTCAAAATTGTACATAGTAAATGGGTTTTCAATTGTATAAAATAACATAGTCCTACACATGTAGTTTACAACTCTGAATCGACTTTTCGCCCGAAACGTCCAGATTTTTGGAAAAAAAATCAAAATTATAAAACAACATTTTGAAATTTAATTTTTAATCTGCTAACCAGAATGTTTTGAAATGTTGCAGATGTTTTAAGGCTATAAAGAGCATCTTTATAGCCTTTGTTTGCATTTTAGATAGGATTTATTCAGCAAAATTTAAGGGTGACGTCATTAATTTTTTTAGGAGGGATGAACAAATACATTTTGAACAAAATTTACCATGCTTATAATAATTTGAAAATATTCCCAAGATTTCAAAGCATTCGGTTTTGTAATTCCTGATTAAATCGATAAAATAAATTCACGCATTCATTAATTTTTTTGAGTCACCCTGCATATGCAAATCCAAAAATATGAATGGAATGATAAATCACAAGTACAGACTCATCATATTTTGTACATTTTAGATACGATTTATTCGGCAAACTTTTGAGCTGACGTCATCAGTTTTTTGTAGAAGATAACCAAATATATTTTGACTAAACATTTATTATGCTCTTTATGACCTTAAAACATCTGCAAGATTTCAAAGCATTCGGTTTTGTAGTTCCTGAGTAAATCAGTAAAATAAATTTACGCATTCATTATTTTTTTTGAGTCACCCTGTATATGCAAATCCAAAAAATATGAATGGAGTGATAGATCACAAGTACAGACTCATCATATTTTGTACATTTTAGACATGATTTATTCCACAAACTTTTGGGATGACGTCATCAAGTTTTTGGAGGGGATAAGCAAATATTTTTTGACTAAAGATTTATGTTGCTCTTTATAGCCTTAAAACATCTGCAACATTTCAAAGCATTCTGGTTAGCCGATTAAAAATTAAATTTCAAAATGTTGTTTTATAATTTTGATTTTTTTTCCAAAAATCTGGACGTTTCGGGTGAAAAGTCGATTCGGAGTTGTAAACTACATGTGTAGGACTATGTTATTTTATACAATTGAAAACCCATTTACTATGTACAATTTTGAAGTGACGTCATCGCATTAGTGGTGGGGATGATTAGACAAATTTTGGTTAGCGTTTTACCATCTACATGATATTCTTAATATAAGTACAACATTTCATAACAATCGGTCGAGCACTTTCGGAGATTATCTGTCTAATAAAAATCCGGGACGGCAGACGGACAGACGGACGGACAGACGGACGGACAGACGGACGGACAGACGGCCGGACAGACGGACGGACAGACGGACGGACAGACGGACGGACAGACGGACGGACAGACAGACGGAAATGGGAGACCTATTTCTTCGTCTTCTAGGGGTCATGAAAGATCGAGAAAACGTAAAAGTAGAGAGTCGGCCGACGGACTCGATTACAATACTTCCTTTGCTTACGCTCGGGAAGTAAAAAGACTGCGTTTATTATTTTAAACTGAGTACCGAAAATTGTGCAATAAATTAAAGAATACTACCGTACACGAAGCGAAGCGAAGTGTTAATGGAGGTGGCTATGGTCATATTTAATAATAACTCGCTTACCATTTAACTCCACTCTTTCTACTTCTACTGGTAAAAAAAGTAACACGCATACGAATAAAGTCCACATTGTTACCACAGTTTAAAACTTAACTCTAAAACTGATCAAGGAACAAAAGCAACAATAGAATATAATCTTATCGAACACCGTTATCAGTAGTTTAAATCTAAAAATTTATGATCAACCAAGTAGAGGAAAGGGTACAAGTGAACTCGGCACCAAGCCTAATCCGTCATAAAATAAACACGCACCAGCAATTTCAGGTAACTTTAAAAACTACCCTTTGACGATAAGCCAACTCGACACAAACCACCCGCTTCAGGCAGTTCATGAATGAACCGGTAGTAGCAGCTTATGTATTTATATAGACCAGTATATATATTAAAATTCAATCTATACACATCCCAGCAGTGATAAAAACACGTCGGGTTCGACAAGCCGAATTGTTTTTAGAAGAAAAATTGCATCAACTTAAAAACGGCATATTAACAGACTATGAATTCGTCAAACTCGTATCGCATAGTTACAAAATTTGTAATTGTATATAAAATAAATCATTGTATCTAAGTATTTTGCATTTAATAAAAAGTATTTCATCAAGTTTTCAATTATTACACAGGCCTGCAACAAAAAACGTGTCTTAACTTTGACAGGCTGTTGGTCTACTAGATTTATGGACACTGATAACGGAAAAAAAATTGCAAAAAATTCCAGCACGTTTAGATCCCTCCTCCACAAAAAAAAGAATAAGTTCAATATAATTAAAACAGAAACCTTACCTTGCCTTGGCGTGTAGAGAAATGACTTATTTGATAGAGTTTAGTGCGTTAATTACAGGAAAAATACTAACAAAATTCTATCACGTCTAAAAAAAATTGGTCTAAAGAGTTTAGACAGTACTTCCCTCGCTGTCGGAAACTTGACGACTGCATGCCTATTGTGTTTTTTTTTCTCATTACATTTTTGTAGTGGGAATTTAAAAAAAAGTTGTGATGACGTCATCAACATTTTTGCAAGGACACGTATATCAGTTGGGATAGATGTAGTGTAATACTAAGAATAAAATTATTGTATTCCCAAATTTTCGGGAAAATGAATTGGGTCGTTTTGAATATTGATTTGTTATAATCAATAAAATAACGAAACAATTTACTCACGTATACGGCGCCGGTGTGTAATATCTAGAGAGCGGATTTCTGTCGGGCTAGGCAAGACCAAACTCGGTACGGCTCGTACGGGATACGAATTCATTGCGGTTGCGGACTGCACTTCGTTTATTTGAGATTAGAATAACGCTGTTTCGTTGCACTCTGCTGTTAATTCCCGTTCTCATTTACTTAGCCGTTTGATTAATAAATCGTTAATTATATTTATGGAATTAGTACCGATTAAACGTGACGTAGCCCGACAAAAATCCGCTGTGTAGTAATATGAAAGACAACTGAAAATCGTTTATGTATAAACATTCTTAATTTAAGATGACAAGCGTAACAGCATACGTGAGAGTCAAACAGAGAAACTGTAAACAAAACGACCATCGGTTTTATTGCTTCGACTTCCGCTTATTATATAAAACATTCGGTTTTATTTTAATTCTTGATGGTGAAATTCACAATTGGTTGATTATAAACATGTCTATTCCACATTCGCGAAACCAAGTGAGCGCATAAAACAAATGCAGGTCTGTAATGTTAAAGTCGATGTAAATAAGCGTGCTACCCTTATGTTTCAACCGAGTTTTTCCTTTAACAAATTTTGTGTCTACCAAATTGGGTTGGTTGAGGTATAATACTAATAATAAGTGTTGGCTTTAATTTAATCAATAAAATAAATTGACTTCATTAATTTTTTTGAACCACCTCTTAAGAAAATCTAAAAAATATGAATGGAATGATAAATCACAAGTACAAACTCATTACACAGTTTACCATGCTTATAATAACTTTAAAATATTCCCAAGATTTCAAAGCATTCGGTTTTGTAATTCCTGATTAAATCGATAAAATAAATTCACACCTTCATTAATTTTTTTGAGTCACCCTGCATATGCAAATCCAAAAATATGAATGGAATGATAAATCACAAGTACAGACTCATCATATTTTTACAGTTTAGATAGGATTTATTCGGCAAACTTTCGAGCTGACGCCAGGGGATAAGCAAATATACTAAGTGCAAAAAAAATCCGAACACCTTGAAAACGTCAATATTTTTAAATGAAATTTTATACACACATTGTTTGTTGTATAAGTAAGAAATGATGAACATATGAAGACAATTGAAGAACTTTTACGTCATTTTAATTTTTATTGTCCTGATTTGAGGTCTAGCAAGATGGGGCTGTTCTGTAAAATTTTGACGTTTTTCGGTATTCGATTTCGACAATTTAAATTCCTTAAAAAGCTGTTAACATGCCCCCAGTGCGAATACGTCTTCAGTATTCACAATTAGGTGATTTTGATAAGCGTCGAATAATAGGCATGCATGAAGCAATATTGTCCTTTAGAGAAATTGCACTTCGTGTTAACAGAGTTGTGTCTACAGTGACGGAATGTTGGTAGGCGTGAAGTCAAGCCGGTAGAAGACACAGAGCTACAGGATCCGGGCGACCAGGAGCTACCACCGGGCGCCAAGACCATCGTCTGCGTTTGTTAGCTCTAAGAAACCGAAAGTCTACAACTCGGGCAATTGCCAACGAATGGTTTGCTGATGTTGTTAGACCTATAAACATGCGTTCCGCATACTACCGTATTAGATCTTTTGTCCTTAAAACTTACCACCCACACTTTGTTTTACCTTTAACACCTGCACATAAGCGTCAACGACTCGAATGGTGCAGGGAACGTAGTGGATGGGACAAGGAATGGAACACTGTTGCATTCAGTGACGAATTGCGCTTTTGTTTATCCATGCATGATGGCCGTATGTTAGTGAGAAGAAGACGTAGAGAAAGACGAAATTCTCAATTTGCTGTGGAATGACATGTACACCGCACAGTAGGATTAATGGTGTGGGGGTGCATTGCTTACGATAGTAGATCTACGTTAGTGTTTATTAGGGGGAGTACGACCTCTCCGCGATATGTGGAAGAAGTGGTAGAACCATATCTGCTTCACTTCTTAAGAACGCAACTTGGGCTTGGTTTTCAACAAGACAATGCGCGTCCACACATCGCTAGAAACACTTTTAACTTTTTTGAAGAGTATGAAGTGGAGTTATTGCCATGGCCTCCTAGATCTCCTAACCTCTCATCCATAGAACATGTACGGGATATGATAGGACGACGTTTAACTCATCTTCAGCGACCACCACAAACTTTAAACGACCTGAAGCGTGAAGTATAAGCTACTCGAGATGAATTAAATCAGGATGACATTGATCGACTCATTAGGTCCATGCCAAGACGTGTAAACGAATGCCTCAATAACAGGGCTGCTCTAACCCATTACTAGCTTAGGTGTTAATATTTCCATTTGAATTTTTCATCATTTACTAGTAGTAAGTAGTAGACTGTAAACCCAAAAGATTTTCAAAAAATTATTATTCTATCCAAGTGTTCGGATTTTTTTTGCACTTAGTATATATTTTGACTAAAAATTTATTATGCTCTTTATAACCTTAAAACATCTGTATCTGCAAATCGAAAAAATTTGAATGGAATGATAAATCACAAGTACAGACTCATCATATTTTGTACATTTTAGATAGGATTTATTCGGCAAACTTTCGAGCTGACGTCATCAAGTTTTAGGAGGGGATAAGCAAATATATTTTGACTAAACATTTATTATGCTCTTTATGACCTTAAAACATCTGCAAGATTTCAGAGCATTCGGTTTTGTAGTTCCTGATAAAATCAGTAAAATATATTTACGCATTCATTAATTTTTTTGAGTCACCCTGTATATGCAAATCCAAAAAATATGAATGGAGTGATAAATTACAAGTACAGACTCATCATATTTTTACAGTTTAGATAGGATTTATTCGGCAAACTTTCGAGCTGACGTCATCAATTTTTTGGAGGGGATAAGCAAATATATTTTGACGAAACATTTATTATGCTCTTTATAACCTTAAAACATCTGCAAGATTTCAAAGCATTCGGTTTTGTAGTTTCTGAGTAAATCAGTAAAATAAATTTACGCATTCATTAATTTTTTTGAGTCACCCTGTATATGCAAATCCAAAAAATATGAATGGAGTGATAGATCACAAGTACAGACTCATCATATTTTGTACATTTTAGATATGATTTATTCCACAAACTTTTGAGCTGACGTCATCAAGTTTTTGGAGGGGATAAGCAAATATTTTTTGACTAAAGATTTATGATGCTCTTTATAGCCTTAAAACATCTGCAACATTTCAAAGCATTCTGGTTAGCAGATTAAAAATTAAATTTCAAAATGTTGTTTTATAATTTTGATTTTTTTTCCAAAAATCTGGACGTTTCGGGTGAAAAGTCGATTCAGAGTTGTAAACTACATGTGTAGGACTATGTTATTTTATACAATTGAAAACCCATTTACTATGTACAATTTTGAAGTGACGTCATCGCATTAGTGGTGGGGATGATTAGACAAATTTTGGTTAGCGTTTTACCATCTACATGATATTCTTAATATAAGTACAAAATTTCACAACAATCGGTCGATTACTTTCGGAGATTATCTGTCTAATAAAAATCCGGGACGGCAGACGGACAGACGGACAGACGGACAGACGGACAGACGGACAGACGGACGGACAGACGGACAGACGGACAGACGGACAGACAGACGGAAATGGGAGACCTATTTCTTCGACTTCTAGGGGTCATGAAAGATCGAGAAAACGTAAAAGTAGAGATTCGGCCGAGGGACTCGATTACAATACTTCCTTTGCTTACGCTCGGGAGGTAAAAATTGGGAATTCGCTATCTTTTGCTTTGAAGTTAAAGAGAGTGGAATATCAGAAATTAGTCGTCCTGAAATTAACGACTGCATAATCGCAATATCATGAAACTTTGCATAAATGTTCCCGAGGCAATTCGGAATAAAATACTGAAAAATTGAAAATTCGCTTTCTCTTGTTTTGGAGATCCAGGTAGTGGTAATTC